GCCACTGCTTGCTCTCCCAGTCATTGTTTCCTTATCTCCTTATTGGCCAAGCCTGGCTGGCGATGAAAGAGACATGACAGCATGGTGAGCTTTTGTACACAGGTCCCACGCCTGCCTGGCTCCGCAGGAAGCCAGATTCCGCAGTTCGCCACAAACAACCAGGATGACATCAGAGATAGGTGGAAAGACAAAACCAACAGAAGCTATTTACTGAAGACACATAGCAAAAATTCTCCCCTTTAGCCTTAATTGTTTGGTGTAAACAGGAAGCTGCAAATACACGTCATAAAATAATTAGCTAAGAAATTATTGAAGCCTTTTAAGAGAACCTTAAATATCACATCAATGCAATGGGGTACTATGTTTTTTCCATGGACACAATTCTGCCACAAATGCTTCCTTGACAGACAGTATTATTGATGTTTCTTTTTAAAGCGACAGAAGTGAAGCTGCTGAGAAAGAGACCCCTAGTGGACAGAATGAAAAGCAGATTATCAGTAAGCACAGATACACGTGTCGTGTCTTTGCCTCTGCAAAAAAGTCTCATCTGCTTTCCATGACAACTATGAGCCTGCTCTAATGCGTGGTGTGATGTCAGGCTACAGAGAAGAGTTCTTGGAGTAAGAAAAAAAAATCAATAATTTGTCATCTTTATATAGTTATATATGCTTCTGTGATTAAGAGAGAAGGCTCACCAGAGCAAATAGGTGGTGGCACAGCCCTGGGAGTTGCTCGATCCTGTTCTTGCAGGTTATGGCTCACATTAAGCCCAGGGCTTTTACTTCCAGTAATTACATTTCAGAATACATTGATACATTGGTACGCGACCCGGTCCCGGATAAGCGGAGGAAAATGGATGGATGGATGGAATACATTGATTGTCTATTTCATTCCATTCATTTTGAGATGAAGGCTTTAAGTCCCTCCTTTTCACACAGTACAAAAAGGGGACTTTTAAAGGTGCCCTTCCTTGTTGCCCTTGAGAAATCTCAAGTACTTCAAACATTTCAAGCTTTGAGGAGAAACAATAGTGTGGTTTCAGGGTGTTACCAAGGGAACAAAAAATCTCTGTGTCAGGCTTGTTCACACAAGTTCTGTCACCAAAACATTGCTTTTATATAATAACAAACTATTTATCTACTCTTCACTTCACAGACACAACCAGCATAGAGCCCACAGTTATGAAATGACAACTTGAGGAAAGCAACTGTTGTTGACTCATTTTTACATAAAATGTCCATGACCTACTTGAATGTCTTCTTTTTAATTACTGTTTGTGAAGTTTGTAGACTATAAAACCACCACTGTAACAGGAGATAAACAAGAAAAACCACATTTCCTAAAAGCCATCTCCTATACAGTATCAGTACAGTGAGTTTATTTATCAACCGGTCATATTTTTCTGACCACTGATTTTGAGGCAGTAAAGTTGATCACAATAAAGAAAGATCCGTCAACACCTGACAAGCACCAGGGAAATGTATGACAGATGCATTTTCTCCTGATGGATCAGTGGTGCTCCATCTAGCATGGTGTAAACTTTGCTCTCCTTACTGCTGCTCTGCTTCCTAATTCTGCCTCAGTGTTATTCTAACAATTTGCAGGAACATCTTTGAAGAGAGTGCACAGCTGAGCTAGGTGTGAATTGTTATTCTGTCACTGGTTTATCCTTTCAACCCCAACAGACTTGCCTAAATTATTTTGGCATGTGAGCATAGTTGACTCATGTGCTGCAAGGAAAATTCATCACTGTTTTTACATTTTTGCAAAAACAAAAACATTATTACTTCATACTGTAAATTACATCTTCACCACCTTTCTGCTGGGTTGCTATGGTGACATCCACAGAAGAGACAAAAGGAAATAAACCTGTTGCTTCAAAGATCACCCTGAACGCCAGAGGGTTAACTTATGCGGATGTAAAACAATATCGCAGGAGGTCTAAGTAAAGCATAAGATGATACAGTGAAAGATATGTCTCTTACTTTGGTACCTACAGTACCTTACCTGCTTTAAAATAGTCACCTGAATTAAAAGTGACATTTGATACATAATTAAAACATATTTAAAAGGAGTCCTGAAGGGGTGCTCCAACAGTTTAGCATTTCACTTAACAGTCAACCAAATGGACTGAATTCTACACCTCCCATAACCGATAAAAAAGTTTTTTGTTAGACACTCCCTTCCTGCTCAGTAAATACCCACATCCACTCTATGACCTCGGTTTGTGCTGCAGGCTTTCCACTAAAAAGAAGTGGTCTCTATGCCAAGCCCAGATGACCCATAGTAACGGTTTCAACAGGCCGGGCAGCACTGCTTGTTAATGAGTAAACTGAACCTGTGTGGAACTTTTATGGAGTGGCACTTCAACGAAAATGAGGCTAAACTGTGTAATTTACAAATGATAACACTTAAAAACTATGAAAATGTTTGAGTTCTACATTAAAACCAAAATCACAGATGTTCTTTTCTACTAATATGAATACATCCATAATGATATTTATCTCTGGTCTATGTCGTAACAGGGCCGGCCTATAACCTTTTTTTTGGGGGCAAATGTTAAGGCTACAAGCTCAGAGTTAGGTTCCAACACTTTCAAACTATCACAGTGTTTAAAGGATAAGGCCGGTCATTTTCTATATTAATAGTATTTTCAGCAATCTTCATACAGAGACTAAAACTGCCAATGAACTGCCTCTACTCACAGTTAGTGTCAGCTGTCAGTCCTGGACTAGCTAGTGCCTCTGGGCGATAGATCTCCGTTGTTGTTCAAAGACGATTAAAAACACATCAGGGCAACACACCACTGCACTGGGTGACACATGTTTTCATTATGAAACCCCAGACAACAATATCTACATAGTGCTATGTGTATATTTTTTGTACTGACCATAATGAAACACAGCAAAAGCTAATATAATCCCATATCATTAAGATGCAAAGTGCTACACCTCAATATCCTTTTGATATATACAGTACTGTATATAGTATATCACACTATGTCACATGCTGCATATACAGCAAAATTTAAATAATAACGCCAATCAAATCAACAACTAATGCCACTGCGTGAGCTGCTGGCATTGTGGATACATAAAAGCAAATATTCAGAGTTGAGATGCGAGGAAACTAGCTAAGGAAAATGGGAGATGAAAGGCTTGGAATGGCGGTCAGTCAGCTGAGCAAAGACAGATCGCTTCTGGACACGAGCTCAAACAGTGGAGTCAGATGCGGAAGATGAGACATGTATTGCATTGGAGGAAGTCTGACAGCAACACAATCCCGAGAGCTACAGCATCAATCTTAGCTATACATCTTCCTTCAAATGCAAAAAAGAGGGGAAAAAATGACTTTACACTATTTACAGCATTCCACTAACCCATTTAATTCAATTATAGGAATGCATTAAAAAGATATTAGGGGTAGATGCAGTTTAATGAAGCATGTTTACTTGGGGATATTGTTTGTAATGAACTGTTTCTGGGCCGATCTCTGTGGCTGAGATGGGAAATGGCGAGGGGGTGCTGGGGGAGGGAAAGCAACAAGAGGAAATGGTAAATGACAAATGTCATCAATAAATGGCCTTATTCCTTTGCTGTCTTTACTCATTCTCTCCCCTGATTTGGGGTGGGTATTTCCACATGCACTAGAGTTGCTTACCCCCTCTGCTTGCACAAAGAGGGCTTAGATTGCCATGTATTACCTCATGGAGTCACTTGGCTGCAAGGAGTCTAATAACATCTACCAAGGTGCTCTCTATCACATCACCTTTGGCAGACTCACAATGACCAGCCATTAGGAATTGGTAGTGCAAGATTCCGCACTGTCTTCCCACCTTGCACTGCCAACCGACTTTTATGAAACGCCTCATGAAACCAGGGGCACTGCAACATGGGCCAGAAACTCTCTGAGGTGGCAACTATCTTTCCTATCTCCCAAACAGGTTTACACTTATATAGCAAGGTCTTGAAATTGTAAACTGTTATCTTTGCATGTGGTTTCTCCACAAAAATGCCAAAGTACTGCCATATATGGAATTACAAGTGAGTTCTGTGACTTCCTGTGATTCGTAAATCCACTGAGCCCTATAGACACACTAATCACATTTAGCACTTCTTATATAAAAGATCACATCTAAGCCAGAAGATGAATGAGAAACACATATGTTTCATATATCACATCCATGTGACTTGTTACAGTGTAAATTTGGCATCTTGAGAAATCATTACCTTCCAAACTTAAATCAATACTTCTACATTACTGAGTAGAAAAAAAAATCAATAAAGCAGGTATAGTGAATAGTTGGCCAGAGCTTCAACATTTGAATAAATCTGTAATGGCTCTTCTGATATACTGCACTGAAAAGACGCCAACTTTGGTTTATTCTAAATCCAATTACCTAACAGCTAAAGTGATTCACCTCTCTTCTTGTGATTAAACACTAATATGTACAGGATTCACTTTATGATATGGTTCGGATGCATAAATATTGTAATTACGATCCAGCTGAGAGTGTTTTAATCAAAGCTAAATGCACTATGATTAAAACACATTCAAGCTTTATATTTTTCGAGCTGTGAAATCTGTGTGCGCCTGCCATGAGACAGAACATTTTAGCAAGGAATTTACAAATGGATCCACTTCTGATGCCACTGGGAACAACTGACGCTTTCAAGCAGAAAATCTCAGACAAATCACAATTTACCAACTAATGAAACCGCTCAAGATTTTTCCCCATCGCCTGTGCCCACTGTCCTCACAGCTGCATTACTTACACAAGCACTGCCTGTGCTTAGCAGAGCAGTTTAGGCTTGAGACCCAATTTCACTGCTCTTGCTGCATTCCTAAATAAGATGATAGCAAAAAAAAAAAAAATCATTTCTAGAACGCGGTCATTGAGCCTGAAACACTTACTCGAAATTTACTAGAAAAAGCCGGGTATGAGAACAAATCAGCATGTTTTTAGAGAAAACAAAGACGACTGTTTCATATGTACTTACCCTCTGTGGAGTGTACTTGGGCTAATGTAATGAGAAACCAGCAGAAGGTGTGCAGTTTCCGCATGGAGCATGCCATGGTGCCTTGTGCTGATGGTTTGTGGCAGGGTCGTGTTGTGACTAAAAGGTTCTGATTAAGAAAGTCCAAGCCAGTTCGTCTCAGGGATGCTCATCATTGATCCTCGCACCTGTGGAGCACAACGAGAGAGAGAGGATGAAATTTACTCCACGTGTGAACTTTGTCTCTGTGGGATTTCACAGAGGAATTCACCTTGTCACACTCTTATCGCAAGGCACTTGATGCTGCATATACTGTACATTCCACTTCCAGAAATGTGACAAAACCTAAACTGTGAAATTGCTACAAACCCATGCAAGCCACAAAAATAAGCCAAGAAGGTCAATAATCCTAAGAAGGGAAATCCTTTAATGGCAACTCAACGCTAACCATTTCACTGGCAGGGAGAGGGAGCGATGAAAGACCAGCGCTGTCATCAAACAGATAAGGCTGGCCCTGTTCATCTCCTCTTGACCTGCAGCAAATGATGCTAACCTTATCAGATATTTTCTCTTCCTGCTGCAAAGAACATACTTGCAGCTTTTGGGGCATTTTAAACCTTCAAATTATGCAAGCTTTTCACTGTCCTGTAGGAAAAGGTGACAGGGACTGTAGGACTATGGCTCTTGTTACCATTGCTAACTCTGCGAGACGAGACAGTCCAAGTAACCTCAAAACAGTGCTGATTTATTCAAAGGATCACAGGTAAAATTAACATTACACGCTCAGGTATCTTGCACCCCCAAACTGCATGCAGGCAGATGAAAGATGAAAGACCCTGAACCCACCAGGCCTATACATTATATCCCCTCGGTTGGGCTAGCCCCATACTACACAGAAACGTCAACCGAGACGTCTCTGTTGCCAGCTTTGCAGCTGGCCATAGCAGTAGTCAAAACATGAAGTAAATCAATGTGTGAATGTGTGTCTGTTGGTTAAGTGGTGTGTAACTAAAAACATTCTCACGACCTCTAGTAACATGTCGTGACTTAAACATAAGAACATATTATGGCTAAGGCTACAGTTCTACACGTCATAATAATAATATTAAACACCCTGTCTGCTGACAGTCATCAACTCTTCTCTCTAGTTATCCTTGACCAGATGTACCCTGTAGAAACTCATAAGCATGACTAAGCATTTAACAGTTTAACTAGACATCCTATCTCCACTAAACATTTCTAATACATAAAGTATCTATCTAATATCTATCTGACTAAAAATACCTAACAGGACTTTAAAGTGATATTAATTAACTTAATCATATGCTGACATGTATTACCGGAAAAAAATTCACTCTCTGTTGTGTAACAAAAGCTTCCAGTAAAAACGGAATTTCAAATCAGTCCCAGAGAAAAAATAAAGGGTTGCATCAGGAAGAGACTGACTGTACGTTGACACGACATCAAAACTCTACAGTGACATGGCAGAAATCCTAAATTAACTGCGAGTAACATTAAATGTTCAATAAAATTTCCTACTATTGGATTTTCACTTGTACTTAAGCAGAGGTTCAAACTATATCTGACTGATCTTTTAAGACTCTTTCCACCACCGCGCTCTGCTCAAACAAACAAACAAACAAACAAAACTACCAAGCAAATGGTCACTTCTCTTTGTTGGGACTGGCCACAAACCACCTTATCTCTCCAACCCCTTCCCTCCCCACTGCTCTCTCTTTCTTACATCTCCCCAGAATTCCTCCCTCCCCACCTCATGCATACCTGTCCCTCTAGTCCTAGTCTGTTTGAGTGTTTGTTTTTGCTCTTTCGCTACAAAAGCAAACGGCCTCCTCCCTGTTATGGATACTGTGCTGAAGATGTGTAGGGTGAAACCTAATGCCTACCTGCACGCCCAGGCATGTGTTTCGCACTGCTAACGGCTCCCTTTTGTCTATATGTTTACACTGCTGGGCTAAACTCAGTCCTCTCACTCCCATGAACCATTAGCACATTCACCATGGGATATGGCATCACTCTGGCAACAAGGCACATAGGACCCCATTAGAAACTGTTTTTTTAAAGCACATTCAAAAACAACATTCCTTTTTTTTCAGTGCCTGCTGCCTGTAATTGTTTGCTAAGATTCTGGCGACTGAATGATACCTATTGCACTAGCTGCTAACAAGACAACTCGACTAAAAAGATAGTGGGGAATTCTGTCTGTCACGTACAGTCAGAGCTGCACAAATCAGCTTCGGCTGTCTCCTCCATGCTGGAGCATATCCGCGGCCTGAAGAGTCTTTGATCTATTTTGTCTGACTTCTCAGACAGTATAATAATTCATCACCAAGAAAACATGCAGAGCGCACCCATTAGCCAAAAAATTATAATTAAGTCTGCCATAATCGGCTCATCTAGTATGACATTAAGCCTCACCTGAGACCTCTAATTTTAGAGCCATTTAAAAGAGGTTAATAGGAGCAGAGTACCGCAGCCACAGCATATTTAGTTTCAGTGGAATAATGTGCAGTCATAAAACTCGACAAATGAAAGTTGATCACAGAGATCAAATGTAGTGGATTGCAGCTAAACAATAACCCTTATTTTTTATCTGATAAGTGTGTGTTGCACCAATTAAACTGATCAGGCAAGTAGCTCTGTATAATCAGCCTACACTCAAGGTCCCAACAGTATAATGAGGCCTTAAGCAGATTGTCTCCACAATAAAGCTGTACAGTCAGTGTATATATAGGATCTTCATCCGTGCGCACAAAGTCTTAGGGCTTACCGTTGTGCACTTAGTAAGACAGACAATACCACACACGTTTACATGTGTTGAGATCTGAGTGATGGTAATCCCATTCACCATTGTCATGCACAAAATAATTTACTGTGCGAACTCTAATCTCCAAACAGCTGTTTTCATAGGAAGCAAGTTTCCCAAATAATACATTTTTGGTTTACTGGGGTGTTTGATGGCTAAATAATGTCACAAAGGACGTGAGGGCACCTATATTCAAACACAAAAACAGAAATAATAACAATTAACATCAAATTTATTTGATGTTAACTGTGTTTAACATTAACAGAGCAGATTCGCCCAGGCTCTGTCAAAGAGTGATGCTACGCCAGCTTGGTTTAAAACCCTGACGCCAGTAAGAGAACCTAGCAAGATCTTTATAAGATCATTTCAGTTATTGGAGTATTACCTTATACAGGTTATATTTAAGTTATGAGAGTGCCTGTGAACACTGGTTTTCTTTTTACAGATGAGATTAATGTTGTGGATTAAGTGCTCCTCCCAAAACCTGTTTAAATCTACAGTGTCAGGAGAAGTTTACCGTCAAAGCACATTGCCTCCTTAACCCCAAAAATTTTAAATCAAGGTTGTGGTTTATTAATCCTTTCCCAAATAAAATACCATATACCTGAACACTATACTAGTTACTTCTTGGCTAAGCATTTCAAGATATTCATATGTCTCTTTGGTGGCTGCAGGTGTTTGTGTTTACATATGTAAATAAAGTATTATAATCCTCAGCCTGAGATTACAGTGCTGAATCAATATGATTATTCTTGCTTCCCTGTCATCATTGCTTAGTGGGGAAAAGAGGCAGCACGCTGAACAGATTTCCTGTGTCAGAATGTTAAGACAAAGACAAGATGCCTTTAACCAGTTTTGCCTCCAAGGCAAGAGAGACCCCCTGCCACGAAGGGGGAAAAAACGTTATAGATCCCTAGTACACGGCAATGGGTGTTCCGTAAATTGATGATAACAGTCCTATACTTTAATATATTTGGTATCATGCTGTGAGTGTTTAACATGTAGACACTAAAGGCACAGACTGCTGCGAGTCAGCCTGACTGCTGTTCTCCTCATTAAAAGTGCTGAGGTCTCCCCTCCCAGCTGGAGGTTTCTTTTCTCTCGCTGCCTTGTAACTGAAACTGCCAGCGCTCATACCTTGACTGTTTTCTTAAATAGCCTTCAACCTGGCTGTGATCTCTAAATAGATTTTAGCGCCTGCAACAATATGTTGTTGTGCTGGGATTTGAGGTTTAAACAGGGGACAGACAGATGATGAAGAGCATCATCGTCAACGTGCCTCCGTCCAATTCGCCACACACGCGATCAAGGCAATGTTCTGTGAGTGTTAACCACAGATTGCAAAAATGTCAACAGGCGTCACACGGTTTTGGCTAAATATGAAGTCACTGCAGACAGATGTTTAAGTACTCTGAGAAATGGAGAAGCCACGGGGGCGTGGGCCCAGAGGCTTTAAACATATGTGTACTTGATTTGTTTTGCAATACAACAGAATGTTTTATAATTGACAACTGAGTGACAAAATTGTGAATTGCAGGAACTCAGCTGGTCTGAAAATAAAAGGCTTAGTAACTGGGAGGTTGGGGGTTATTAGAAGGAAGGGGAGGAGGGTTGATTGAAAAAGGACAGTTTGAAATTTGAATACAGCGGGGGTCTGAAAACAAGAGGCAGATGTGAAAGAATGCTGGGTTCCTTAGACAAAGCTCCTGGTTGTCCCTCTTTAGCTGCTAGAGGGCCACGGGAGAGTAGGAGAAGAGTTGGGCCATTCTATTAAACGAGGTCCGAGAGAATGGAAGGGGGACACAGAATAAAGAATCTGCGTGGGGGAGGGAGGTTGAGGTACAATAAAAGATTGACAGCTTGCAAGTCTTGCTTGACCCTTGAATTAGCCCCTAAGCTTCCAACAAACTTCAAGAAAGAGTGGGGATGTTAATTGTCACTGAACATCACAGGGATGCAAAGGAAGGGAAATATGGGGCCGGAGATTCTCTGAAATGTAAATCAGAACCAAGAGACCACCACATGTTGAATGGGGGGGAACACATTTGGTTTCTATTGGGCTTTCCTGACAGCATCCTCATACATGAATTCATACATAAGACTCCTCTTATCTCTGTTTCTCATGCCTACTTTGTGGGAAAACTGAAATACCTGGGGACACAAAGCTCAGTCACAGAACAGCCTCAGCTGTGGAGGAAATATATTCCCAAAATCAGAAAATTCGCACTCCAGAGGAGAGAGATTGGGCTTGTGATCGGATGAGTCTGGAGCCCCACTGAGTCAGATATGGGGCAGGGAGGAATCACAGGCTGACCCCTGTGCTGAGGGAATGATTGAGAGCAGCACAAGGCCAGAGGAGCCGAA